AGTCTGAATGAATAAACATTGTTGTACATTATCATGTGAGCCATTATTTCCTGTTTCGGACGAATAAGTATTAATGGCATATTTGAAAAACATTTGTGGCTTTACGTACCTATTTACAGACTGTTATGTACTTGAAAGGAATTTACGAACGTATGTGTTCAATGAAGGCATGTCGAGTGTATCAACACCATATAATTTAGACTACTGTTGCATTCAAATTTATGTTGAGTGCTGAAAATTTTTTTTTTATTCAATTATTGTGTAGACATGCTTTTTATGAGACACTAAAATTATCGTTTTATAATATTCAGTAGTTGAAAAATACACATTTGCTTTTTTGCTGCATTAATTCCATTGGTGCATTTACAAATGGAACACAACGGAAGACTCATTATCTTCTGTTTAAAAAAATGGATATTAGCTAGTTATTAGTCGTGGATTTCAGGCTTGGATATATATCATATTTATTCACATATAAATATGTTCATCCTAAATTCCTTAATGCATCATTCCACTGGGAGCAAATCATCCTACCTTATGATAAATTATGCAAAGAAATTTAAAATTGGCTATTGATTCTCTAATATTTGGTGTAATTTATTCAAGGTAAAAATCAGCAAATATTGACAGCATTGTCTATTTATTGCATTGACTGGTTATTATTGGTGATATGGAATTTGTGTTTGAGTGACAGATGTTTTAAGATCTTCTGTTTTATAATCAACACATACATTGTACATTATGATGTCACAATATTAGAATTGATTTGAAGTTGAAGATATCTTGATTGGTTTTCACTAGAACTGGATAATTACTATATTAAGTTCTATGTAAAATCTACCATTTGTTATTTTTATTGTTTATATTTTTTCCAGTTTCCTTCACCTGAATGGGACACAGTTACCAAGGAAGCAAAAGATTTAATCAACAAATTGTTGACTGTTAATCAAAATAGTAGGATCACTGCTCCAGAAGCTTTGAAACATCCATGGATAAGTGTAAGTTAATTGAAGATTTTTCTTCCTCGTGCATCTGTAATTAGCCTGAGAGAGGTTGGCAATGGTCACTGCGGATTGAGTGATTTTACCCCCTTTTCTGTCTTTTTTATTGATGTAATTGCAATTTTAAATTTTCCCAAGTATGAGATTATTTGTAAATGGAGATTCATGAATTCTTTAATTAGTTCTCTATTTACAAGCATTCATTTCAATATGCCCTCATGACCTATTATGGAATGCTATGAAATAGTTTGATGGTTGTTCTTATTTAAATTAGTTGTTTTCAAACCCTCATTCATTCACAGTATTTTAGATGGTAACATTGCTATTATCAATGTAGTAAAGAATTTTGGCAATATGATGTATTAGCGGAGAATGGGTCAATCATTAGTCATACATCTTGTTTATCATTTTGTTGTTTTCTTGACTTTAATCGGGTTTGCTGCAACAGCATATATTTAAATTACCATGCTATTTTCTGAAGTACAAACAAATAAATGATATTTCTATTTATATGTTTCAATTTCATCATCACTTTCGAATGCTTTTAAGGATCCCATTTTGAATATACTTTATTTTGACTAATTTTTGTCATCAATGCTTTGAATGGAAAGTGTATGCTGAAAATAGTTACTGCACTCTGAGAAATTCCATGCAGAGAGCTGCAGGAATGCACAATGCATTATTCATGGCATCTGTCTCTCTATGCATCTTACATTTTTTGTCATTTTGCCCAAACCTGCAGCCCTTCTCGACCTTGGAGATAATGGGTGTCAATTACTTTCTCCAATGTAGCATTGGCCTGAGATAATTTATGTTTGAGTCCATTATATTAGCGGGCTTTAATTTAACAAGAAAAGATGTCAACATCTGCCTGCTCTTTTGCACTTTAATGCTCCAGCCAGTCAAAAAATTTGTTAAAATAACCTCGTTCATTTGAATTTTAAAGTAATTATAACTAACGGCTGGCTGTTAATCTGAAGAATTCTAATTAATGAATCTTGATGATATGCCTGGACGAGATTACGTCTTGATTTTCAATATCAGATTTGAGATTAGTGTGAAATTACAGTAATAGAGGATTTTTTTCATGTTGGATTCGGTAGTTAGAAGTCTTCAAGTTTGTTTTAATCACCCCATGAAAGTCGTAGTTCATCCACTCAGTTATCATGTATTTTCGAACAAATATTTTTGAAATTATGTTTCTGCTTAATAAGATAAATACATTTGGATAAATTCAGAT